CTAAGTGTGCCCTCCACATGGCATCCGCCTTCTCTATCTGTAATGAACCATATTGCTGATTCTCCAAAAAAGGAGAATGCATCTTCTCATCTTGGCAATTTGCTGTCATCTCCCAAGGACATGCGGGGCACTGTGCAGAAGATCTGCCACTTCCTCGGTAAGGAGCTGACCTGCCAGCAGCTTGATTCCGTGGTGGAAAATGCCTCATTCCAGGGGATGAAGGAGAACAAATGGTTGCAGCCCTCCCAGTTGCCAGTGGAATTTTTTGAACCTATGAAAGGGACTATATTAAGGAAAGGTAAAAAGGAAAGTTTCCTTGGTAGGCAGCAAAGAGGTTGGCTTGAGCTGCCCATATTTCCCCTCTTGACAAGAGAGAATGGAAGGAGAGGGGCAGGAGGGCTGACTGGTGGGGGACTGTGCTGTGGCAGAGGGGGGCTTCAGAAGCTCTGTGTTGGGGCCCCAATGGAGGCTTTGGGCTGCCCTTAGCGGACATCTTTTTCCACCATGCCTCTGGGCTGCTGGGCTGCTGGACTGCTGAGGGGGTGCCATATACGCCGGTCTCCACTCAGCACCCATTGACTGCTCTGTGCGTGCTGCTCACTCAGACCCAGTGCAGTGCAGGGTGAAGATTACTCAAGGGGGACACATTCTGGGCCTGCTCCTCACTGATGTTTCCTGCTCTCTCTTGTGGTGTTCCAGGGATCTCTGGGGACTGGAAGAACCACCTGACGGTGGCACAGAGCGAGCACTTTGACCGTGTGTATCGAGAGAAGATGCAGGGTGTAAGATTCACCTTCCCATGGGACTGAAGAAGGCCAGACTGATGCTTGCACTGTTTTGTGGTCTTCCTCTCTGTATCTCCCATACCTCATGTTGTATCTAGCACATGATCAAGCTGTATAGCAAAGGAATTCTTACTTATGTAGAAATGCATGAGCTTAGCAATAGTCCCTGTGGACTGAAAGAGCATTATACACAACCACAAGGCAAGCAAATACACACTTACACACATTCCTCCAACACAGGGCTTCATGATATGATGGGTGTTGCTCCAGGGCCGAGGTCTCTTTGAAGTCTCTGTTTCATAGAGTTCCTCCCTGGGCTGTTTCTAAGGCTGTTCTAAGCCTCAAGCTAGCACCCCGTTCTGGTAGCTTTGCCTGCAGCTGCTTCTGTGAAGAAGCCACTTCAGTTCTTGTAAAAAACCAACCTTATTGAAGGAAGGCAACGTCAGAGCAAGGCATCTGGTGCTCCTCTTGCAATGCAAGTTGAAAGTGCACCTAGGGTCCTGGCATGGCTCCCCACATAGCCTGGCTTGGGCATGCTGGGAAAGTTCCCCACGTGACCTGCTGGATGTTCCGTACCTCCTCATCGTTGTGCGGGTGTAGCCCCTGCAAGTCACCCTAGACATACCTGTAACGTGTGTGCTGCTTGCATGGAAGCGACTTCTAGCCAGGAACCTGCATATCTGAATGCATCACCTAATTTGATGCATGCCTATGCATGGAATTGGGTCCTGACTGAGCAGGATCCAGAGCTTTCCTGTTGTGGACCATGGAAACACCAGGTCCCATCATCTTCCCCTGTGTCATGACGCCAAAGGCCTTGTGATGCTTCCTCTCTGTAAATCACACTGGCTGTGAATGTTTATGGCTCCATTCACATGACATGACGGTGGTCAGTATTTGGAGGTGGCCACTATTTGGAGGGCTTCTGTCTTCCATACTGCAAGCTGCATCAGCAAACTTGTATCAGCAGAGCTGGGGGAATGGAGCACTGCATTATTCTGAGAGGAACCAACCAGGCAAGGTCAATTTCCCAGTTATTACCCGTTTGTTGGAACAAAGCGGGGACTGAGATGAGTTAACAGCGGCCATTTTCTCTGGTGCCCAGACTCCTAGGCACCAGTTGCTTGGAGCTGCAAGCCACACTTCTTTCCAGGCTCACTTATCTCTTTGAGGCAGTGCAGATTGAGCCACGAGTGGAGAAGGCTCTGGCAAGTGCCCAGGACAGAGCAGCTGGGCAGAAGAAGATGCTTGACTGCCAAGGCTTCTGGAAGGCATTGGGCCACTTGCATCGTGGGAGTGGGATTAGCACTTGTGAAACCCTCATGCTGTCCCCGGCTGGGCATCTTGAGGCAGGCTGATCTGGAGAGGGGCTGTGCACCAGCGGCCATCATGGGGAGGTGCATCTGTTTGCACAGTTTGGTGGGATGACCTGGCAACTCCAGGGACCAAGGCTTGTGAACTCATTGCTTTGTCGTTTTCCCTGCAGCATTCTGCTCTAATCACTTGGATAATGTTCTCCCGATTAATACATCTTTAGCTTTCACCTATTACAGTGCTCATTGTAGTCTGAATCTTAAGAAGAAGTCATTGCCCTGAGCATCATCCCTCCTTCTACCCTCCAGCTGTAGTTCGGTGCTCTTCACAGGAAGAGAGCAAAACCCACACCTCCAGCC